GCATCACAGACCTGTTATTGCTCAATTTCGTGCGACTAAATGCCGCCTGTCCCTCTAAGAAGATATATTTGTACGCCGGTAGTGAGAACCACAACCAACAACGACCGAAGCCGAAGCGGAGGGTCTTTGCGATACCAGAAAGTACGTCTATTTAGCAGGCTAGAGTCTCGTTCGTTATCAGAATTAACCAGACAAATCACTCCACCAACTAAGAACGGCCATGCACCACCACCCACCGAATCAAGAAAGAGCTCTCAATCTGTCAATCCTTCCGGTGTCTGGACCTGGTGAGGTTTCCCGTGTTGAGTCAAATTAAGCCGCAGGCTCCACTCCTTGTAGTGCCCTTCCGTCAATTCCTTTAAGTTTCAGCTTTGCAACCATACTTCCCCCGGAACCCAAAAGCTTTGGTTTCCCGGAAGCTGCCCGCCGAGTCATCGGAGGAACTTCGGCGGATCGCTAGCTGGCATCGTTTATGGTTAGAACTAGGGCGGTATCTGATCGCCTTCGAACCTCTAACTTTCGTTCTTGATTGATGAAAACACATTTGGCAAATGCTTTCGCTTCTGTCCGTCTTGCGACGATCCAAGAATTTCACCTCTAACGTCGCAATACGAATGCCCCCAGTTGTCCCTATTAATCATTACCTCGGAATTCCGAAACCAACAAATAGAACCGAGGTCCTATTCCATTATTCCATGCACACAATATTCAGGCGAATGAGCCTGCTTTAAGCACTCTAATTTGTTCAAAGTAAACGTACCGGCCCACCTCGACACTCGGTGAAGAGCACCGTGGTAGGATTTTGAGTTGGGCCGCCTTTTGACGGGCTAAGCCCACCGGTAGGACGTCCCACAGACATGCCTGTTGAACACCGCGAGCGGTGAACCGACAGTGTGGGACACAGATTCAACTACGAGCTTTTTAACCGCAACAACTTTAATATACGCTATTAGAGCTGGAATTACCGCGGCTGCTGGCACCAGACTGGCCCTCTAATAGATCCTCGTTAAAGGATTTAAAGTGTACTCATTCCGATTACGGGGCCTCGGATGAGTCCCGTATCGTTATTTTCGTCACTACCTCCCCGTGCCGGGAGTGGGTAATTTGCGCGCCTGCTGCCTTCCTTGGATGTGGTAGCCGTTTCTCAGGCTCCCTCTCCGGAATCGAACCCTGATTCCCCGTTACCCGTAACAACCATGGTAGTCGCAGAAACTACCATCGACAGTTGATAAGGCAGACATTTGAAAGATGCGTCGCCGGTACTAGACCGTGCGATCGGCACAAAGTTATTCAGAGTCACCAAGTCAAACGGTGAGCAAGGCAAGCCCGCCACCGATTGGTTTTGATCTAATAAAAGCATTCCTTCCATCTCTGGTCGGAACTCTATTTGCATGTATTAGCTCTAGAATTACCACAGTTATCCAAGTAATGTGGGTACGATCTAAGGAACCATAACTGATGTAATGAGCCATTCGCGGTTTCACCTTAATGTGGCTTGCACTGAGACATGCATGGCTTAATCTTGAGACAAGCATATACTACTGGCAGGATCAACCAGGGTGCTATATATATAATAGCTAGTGCGTAATGTCCCTCGGCGTCACCCGAGAGACCACACTTTGTATAGAAAAGTTCGAGAATATTTTCTAAACAACGAATTTTCTTACATATATATATCTGAGCCGTACGATATTCCCTGAACATAACGAACAGTTTACATCGCGACTAGATATTTTATATATTCTGCGCTTAACACAGAGGCTAGACTTTAACACCAACAACGTCGAAACGGCGGTCCGTACATGAATTTGCGGTCTGCAGACCCAGTTATTTCAAACAGTCTCTTTACCCTTCGTTAGATTGAAAACGCGGGCGAATTCATAAGAATTCATCGTTATAACTCACTTTTATTCTCGCTCGGAGAGTATTGAGTTGATTGCATTTGTATATTTGGTTTCCGCATAAGAGTCTTTGCGTCAACGACCCATGCCCGCGGATATGCTGTACAGTATGGTTGAACACTTATAAATAAGGTCCAGAACCCGGCCGTAAACCGACATCCGAACATATACGGCGTATATTATTCTAGACACGGTCTACGACAGTTTGACCTGCAGCGACGGGTCGCCTCGGGTTACCGTGCGAACCATCACCGCGATGGTCTGGACAGGCTATATGGCGGGTCGCAAGAAAATAAATTCTCTAGGACGCGCAACCACTTTAGCAATTTTAGAGCACGTTGTGGTCCAAAAACAAACGTCCTCGCTTTAAAATTGAAATATGAATATTTCACTGTGTGTGAGATTGAAAAATCTGCTTTCGCTGATTTTTCATTTTCTTAAAACAACGCAATGAAGCGAATGTTCAAATTCGCACAATTTGAATAAAATGTGCAGAGTATATAGAATACTAACGCAAGCGTTTACTACAATCGACTTTAAACACTAGACTTTCATCTAGCGCCCAAAGAATTGATTGAGCTATGCGTTTAAAGTATAATATTCAAAAAGAACGCCGTTTTCACAACGAACTTCGTCATTCGCTCAGGCATCTGGCGATACCGAGCAGATATACATGGCAGTGCTCTCACACAATGCATAAGAGCGCTAAGCGGTTGTAAACTGCGTCACGCTGCTTTTGCACACTGCGCAATATTTTGCGACTAGCTCCGGTCAAACGTTAATGAAACGAATGATCATTGCCAGAGGCTTTTGCCCACAGTATATTATACTATAGGAGCGCACTTGATTACAGCAATAATTTGTCGAGTAATCACAAGATTTCATATTTGTGGTCAGCAGACCCAAATAATTTTAACTCGCACCGATCGAACGTTCATAAATGAATGATCCTCGGTGCGAGAAGCTTCGTCAGTTCTGCTGCACCACCACATCTATTTGACTTTAGTCCATTTGTAAAATCCTATATTATTAAATATATAGATTTTATATTTGCGGTCCGCAGACCCAAATAATTTCAACTCGCTCCGATCAAAGTTCATAAAACGAAAGACCATCGCTGCGAGAAGCTTTGCTAGTTCTGCTACATTCACATATATTTGACCGTAGTCATTTGTAAATCCTATATAATTAAAAGATATAGATTTATATTGCGGTCCGCAGACCCAAATAATTTCAACTCGCTCCGATCAAACTTTCATAAAACGAAAGACCATCGCTGCGAGAAGCTTTGCTAGTTCTGCTACATTCACATATATTTGACCGTAGTCAATTTGTAAATTCTATATTATTAAAATATATAGATTTCATATTTGCGGTCCGCAGACCCAAATAATTTCAACTCTCTTCTGATCGAACGTTTAAAACGAATGATCCTACCACCAGTTATCTATAGCCGCAAACCAGCATCCGAATATATACGGGGTATATAATTAGATGTGGCTCACAACATTATTAAAAGTTACGCTAATATATCATTGACAGACTAAAAGTATCGAATATGATGTAAAAACTACACCGGGGAATGATATCCGTACCCGCCCGAACAACATAGCGTACTTTAGCCTGAGCTTGCTCGCATCGCACTCGACACGACCTATTCCCCTATATAAGGCGCGCGGCCACAGCGTAAGTATTTGACTGAGTCCCAGCGATGTGATTTTGACCTGCGGCGAGGCGTCGCTCGGGCTTACGGTGTGAATCGTCAAGACAAAAGTCTGGGAAAATTTCGAACTGTGAACCCTTATGATAGAAAAATTTTGTCGAAAATTTTGTTAGATGTTCAAACAGTTTTATATATATATGGACAATATGAATTATAGTTATTATTGAGTTTTTAGGT